GTGGGAGAGAAGGAGGGACAAAGCAAAGAAAAGATGATACAAAGAACCACGAGGACAAAGTTTTAATATAATCAGATAAAACCTTCTTGGACGCTCTAAATCAATAATCCGTTTAGAGAGTATGAATTATTATTATTCTATTCTAGTTTGACAAACTAACATAAGCAATTACCAAATTAAACAAAACAGAATGGGGAAAATTTTCAAAACAATGCCAGCAGGTATGGTGGAAAGAGCTCTGAACTAGGACTCTCAGAACCTGATTCCTACATTTATTTATTCGAGTCTTGGCTTTCTCAAGAAAAGCAAGGGGAAACACTCTACAGAATGAAGTGCTGAGTGATTCTGGAATGGAAAATAAAGGTAATTAAGACCTTTAATCAAGGTTGGGCATGATAGCACATGCCTATAGTCCCAGCTACTCAGGAAATTAAGACAGGAGGGTCCCTAGAGTTCATGAGTATGAAACCATCCTGGATGCTCAATCATCCCACAAAGATGCTTCAACAGGTATAACCGTAAGTATGAAGGACTACAATCTTGACAATGATGGCTAGGGCCTTTTGAGCACGTATCCCATGCCATGCACTAGTCTAAGAATTTTACATTTATTAACTCATTTAATCCTTAAAAGGAACTGATGGAATTAAAAGCCACTGTCATCATCTATATTTTTACTGACAGAAAAACTGAGCTGGAGAAAGGTCAAATAAATTACTCAAGGTTATGCAGCTATTAAGTGATAAAGCTGTGGTTTGAAATCTTGATTCCTGGCTCCAGAGTTAGCATCCTTAACCATTATGTTATACAGTAACAATATGACAAATATAAGTGAATACAGTATTGAGGTGGGAGAAAAATTGAAATGGTCACTTTTGGTTAAAGGAATCAAGAAAGAGATGATACTTAGGCTAGAAGTTATAAGTAAAGGAGGAAGGAAAGGAAGGATACACGAGTATATGTACTGAGAACTTTTATCATAAATGTGTTGAATTTTGTCAACAGCTTTTATGAATCAATTATAGGCTGAATATGAATTACAGGATGAATATCTTTTATCTGAAAAGCTTCAGACCAGAAGCACTTCAGACTGGATTTTAGAATATTTGTATAACACATTATGAGATATCTTGGGGGTGGGATCCAAGTGTAACACAAAGTTCATTTATATTTCATATACACCTTACATACATGTGTGTGCAAATCTACATACTTGTTTTTAGTGAGCCTGCATTATGTGTGTGTGGTGCTGGGGATGAAACCTGTCGTGTATCCTGAGCATGCACTCTGCCACTAAATAACAGCCCAGCCCCAGTGCACTTGCATTTCTACTATTACCCAGCATACAAGGCCAGGATGACTTTTCCCTTATGTCATGTTGGTGCTCAAAAATAACAGACTTTGGAGCATTTCAGATTTTCAGATTAGGGATGCTCAATATGAATTTTTTTATCTTCTAGCTATAATTCATTTTTTTGTTTTTATTTTACAGTAGTGGAGATTCAACACTCTACTATGAGCTACACGCTCAGACCCTTTTTAAAAATTTTATTTTGAGGGCCGGGGATTTAGCTCAGTGGTTCCGCCACCTGCCTCACAAGTGCAAGGACCCGAGTTCGATGTCCAGTACCAAAAAACAAAAACAAAAAAATAATTTATTTTGAAACAAGTCTCACTAAGTTGTGCGGCCTGGCCTCAAATTTGCAATCCTACTGCCTCCACCTCCTGAGTGCACACCACAAGTTGGCTTCTACCTTCATGACTCATGACTGTTGTTGAATCAGTCTGGCATATATTCAATAAAACCTATTTGGTCATGGTATGTAATTAATTTTATTTACTGTTGGATTCAATTTGCCAATATTTTATTGTAGATTTTCATATGTCACATTCATGAGAGATTGTGGTTTTCTATTTTTTTAATACTGTCTTACTTAGTATTAGGATAATGGCCTTAAAAATGATTTGGAAAGTGTTCTATCCTCTTGAATTTTCTAGAAAAGGCTATGAAAATGATATTAATTCCTCTTTAAATGTTTAATAAAGATTCCCAGTAAAATTATTCCAGCCAGGACTCTTACTTCCCACAAGCCTGCAACCTCTACTCTTTGATGATAAATTCATGGCCAGGCATGGTGGTGCACTCCTGTAATCCCAGCACTAGGAATTACAGTTGAGGCTGAGCCAGGAGGATCACTGAGAGTTCAAGACCAGTCTGGGCTACATCATGAGTTCAAGGTCAGTCTCAACTATATAAAAAACCCTGTCTCAAAAAACAAACAAACAAAAAGTTCCAAATTCAAATTCTTTTTTTTTTTGGTACCAGGGACTGAACTCGGGTCCTTGTGCTTGCAAAGCAGGTGGCATAACCACTGAGCTAAATCCCCGGGCCCTCAAATTCTTTATGTATAGATCTATTCAGCTTGTCTGTCTCATACTGTTTGAGTAGGAGTAGTTTGTGGATTTTCAGGAACTGGTCTCTTTCTTCTAAGTTACTGAATTTATGCACAAAAGTTGCTTAAAGTACAGTATCTCATTATCTCTTAATGAGTATACAGTCTGTAGTGATGGTCCCTATCTATTTTATTCTTGATACAGGTAATTTGTAGAGGCTTGACTTTTCACCATAATAGTAGCTTTAAAAAAAAAACCAGAAACTGAGAAGCAGCAAGTGTGGTAGAACATGCCTATAATCCCAGCTACTCTGGAGGCAGAGGGAAGAACACTGAAAGCTTCAGGCCACCACAGGCAACTTAGTGAGATCCTGTCTCAAAATAAAATTTTAAAAGAGCTGGGACTATAGCTTAGTGGCAGAGCATTGATCTAGCATGAAACAGGCACTGGGTTCAATCCCCAATGCCAGAATCAATGAATGAATGAATAAAAGAATGAATATTAAAATTTAAAAACTTTAATATAATTACTTTCACACAAGCTCTCTAAAAAGAAAAATGATTTCATTTTTAAATAAAAGACATTCAGAAGGATTAAATACTGACAAAGTAGGATCATAGTATATTTAAGTCAAAACTCATTGTTCTACAGTAAGAGGGAGATATATTATTTATTGATATCATACATAGAATAAAAGATAAAACATAAACCATACTGAATATAAAATAACCACCACAGAGAATAGAATAAAACACAGCTGAAAGACAATGACTTAGCAAACACTTATTTGACAAGATAAAGTTTCCTAAATTGTCCAGTTTCTCAACTGGGAGCAGTTTTGCCCCTTCCCTGGAAATTTGACAACAATTCTTATTATCATAACTGGGGAAGTGTACAGGTATTTGTGGGTAGAAGCTAGGGCAACAGCTAAACATCCTACAATGTAAAGGATAGCCCCTACAGTGACAAATTGTCCAATCAAAAAATGTCAACAATAACTCTGTTGAGAAATCCTGCTTTATAATGATAAAACTGAAAAACTCTATTAGTCACACAAATTCTTAAAATCTATAATATATAAAGTAATATAACTTAAAAGTCTAACTAAATTGTCAAGTACCATAGACAGGCTATTGCTATTCATCCACAATCCTTCCCCCTCCTGCCTTTCCCTCTACTCTCCTGATCATTGCTCCTTTTATACTTTTTTAAAACCACCTTCTCATTCTAAAACCTCCAATTCTTCTGAAACAAAAACAAACAGAAAACTGCTTTACCTTTGCTACCTGAGGTCTAGAAGTATCCAAGAGTCATAATGAGTTTGATATATGATCATGAAGCTCACTATTACATATAGATTTAACAGTGCTATGAAACAACTTTGTCATCCCTTCCCAGAACTACCTCAAAAGATGAAAGACTTAACCCATAACTCAATATAAAATATCAACAAAAAACATATATAAAATATCAACCCGTATATTTCTAAGCCAATATCAAAAGTATACTTTTAAGATTTCATCAGCACAAGGTGAGCTCCAAAGTTTACTTTGCTAATTAGTCCTTAAATTCATATAAACTGCACTTATTAAACACCTAACTTAACTAGCTTCCTTCCATTTGTCCTTCATCTTAATACTCCAAGATTGAGAGCAAGTCCATTTTTAACCCACTTGCATTTTTCAAATTTCATCTAAATCTTGTCTTTCCCATTACACTGCATGTAATTGACCATCTACATTCCAACACATCTTGAAATACATTTTCCAGATCTTTCTCACTATGATTTTTCTAGTTTCATTAAGTATTTCTGGAAACATACTGAATAGAACTTCCAAAAACGGAGTTAAGTACCAAAAAATCATCCGTATGTGGATAAGACCAAATTTAGGATTTATTTTCAATATATTTCTTAAAAATGACACAATATCAAAATTATTTTTTACATCAAGAGGAAATTAGGCCAGAAATGGTGGTGAAAACCTATAATTGCAGCTACTTTGAGGCCAGCTGGGGCAACTTACTGAGACTATGCCTCTAAAACATACATACATACATACATACATACACAGGATAAGAGACATAGCTCAGTGGTAGAGCACTTGCCTAAATATGCCTGAAGCCCTGAGTTCAATCCCCAGTACCAAAAAAAGAAACAAACAAACACACAATTTATTTTAAATGCTCTAAACCAAAATATCAGTGGTCAACTAAAGTGGCAATTAATTTGAATGATGTCAATTTAATCATGTCCATGTAAGTTCTGTTATAAATATTCTGGAGACAGAAACAAAATTGAAAAATGTCACAGATGACTTGTTTATATTAGAAAGTTTTAAATAAATCTGAAAAAAACTTAGAACCAAATATTTTAACATATAAAAATCTACTGCTGAAAATAAGTGAATCTGTCAAGTCATCCATGCATCCAAATAGAAGGCAGAAATATTTTCAACAAAATAGTCTAATAATGACTGAAATTTCATTTATGAGCTAAACTAGTGATTTCTTTCTTTATAGAACCTTTTTATGACTGTTTCAGGGCACTATACCTTCTTAAAGCTAGCATATACTTAATGCTTAATAATGCAGAAAAATTCACTCACCATTTCAGTGGTGTGCCTTCATATTCAAACCATATCTCACTAATGTCTTCTTGTCTCATAACCTTCTGAAAGTGCTTTTTCACTTTGTCAGTTACCAACGTCAAATAACTTACTCTTGGCAAAAGCAACTGAAATGAAAATTTGTAAAACCGTATTTATTTACTAGTTATTTTTTCCAGAAGAAATACTAAATAGGTTTTCTAATCTTAAGGAAAAACAGCCACGTTCTTTACATTATTTTGACTATCCCACACAAAATCAAATCTTTTTAAACAGAAAATCAAAGGCTAATTATTAAGATGTTTGAATATTTATGAGGTCATTTTTAAGATATCACATATATGCCTAAAATAACTGATGAAAATCTACAATCTTTCTGAAACACTTTACATAAAGATATAATTAGATATCATCCTATTTGGGATACTTAACAGTTCTGTGAAATTTAACTCAAATTAAAATGATTCACCTGAGTTGATTAAACTTTTCTGAGAAGATAACTAATTCAGTTCTAATATATACCTTGATTTATCAATCAGACTCTCACCACTGGCTCACCATGTTTGGAAGTTTATGAAAGAGTTGGGCTGAAGAAAGCCTCACCTGGAACACTATGAAGGAAGTCTGTGTTTTTCTCCCAGTAACAGAATCCAGAGAGGAAACAGCAGAGTTTTTCAAAACTGGTTATGATTTATGAACCCACAAGTAGGTAAAATGGGGGAAATTTGATACTTTTCCTCCTTTGCAGTAGACACTCTAGTCACTTCTTGCTTTTCCAACCTATGTCTTCTTTTGGTGGTAAAACTATTTTGTTATTCATTTTCTCTCGCTCTTTCCCTCTCCATCTCTCTCTGCCTCTCCCCTTCTGTTTCCCCTCCCCAACCCCGTGTTTGTGAGTCTAACTAAACCATCTATCAGGCTCATTATTCCAGGTGATGTCTTTTGATTACTAAAGTAAGGAGAACTGGTTAACAAATACATACAAAGAAATACAGTGTATTCTGGTAGATGAAACTGATATTTACTCATGGAAATCCATGATAAGAGATCCCAATTACAAGCCCATGACAGTAGTCTTAGGGACTATGGGATACAGAAGTACAGGAGGGAGACAGGCGGCATACACCAATATGAAATGAAAGGTATTAAATACTATGAAGAAACTTGGATTCACTGTTTTTTATAAATAAACTTATTAGTGAAGAAAAGGAATGGAAACTAATACGTGTAGGAAAAAGCACTAATCATTTTTTAAACAGGAAGAATTATCATCTCTTTTATGTAGAGTATAAATAACTTGACAAATCATATGATATTATACAAATGGCAGGAAAAGTCTCACTGGAGTCTTTTAGAAATGACAGAAAAAAGCCAGGCATAATGATACATAGAACTCCTACAGATTGAGGTAGGAGAACTGCAAGTTGGAGCTAGCCTGGGCAACTTAGCAACTTAGTGAAACTTTGTATCAAAATTTTAAAATGATAGCAATAAAGGCTGGGGATGTATCTCATTGTGAAGGTCCTGGTTCAAACCCCAGTACCACAACCAAAAAAACAATCAATACGGATGTGACATGTAAATTTATAACAGTATAGATCAGTCATTTTCTAAAAATAAAAAAATTATTTTGTAAGTCTAGTCTAGTAAGGTCCATATTAGTAAATCCAGAATTTCAATTTTAAATGACCACTGGGCATTACACAGCAATAACCTACTTCTCAAAGAATAATAACCAATGGAGATGGTAAGAAGGAAGACACACATCATGAATAAAGAGTATGATATCAGTTCTTAATTTTGGAAAGTGTTATATAGCTAACACTCAGGCAAAGTTGCTAAAGAATTCACAAATGATTTTTGCAAAATGAAATTTACTTAATACTAAGGAATGAAGATAATTAGAATGTAACTTCCAAGGCTGGGCAGGGCAGTGGACACCTGTAAACCCAGCACTCAGGTGCCTGAGGCAGGAGGACTGCTGCGAGTTCTAGGCCAGCCTAAATAAATAAATAGGAATGTAACCTCCATTGTGTTAGGGATTTGAGTCTGTTCAATGTTGCATTCCCACTACCCAAAATAGTGTTTGCCTGATAGAGATATATATTGTTTTCTGAATGAATCAGATGCTAAAGATTAAGTGTGGCAAACAGCCAAAAATGAAAATTTTAAAAATTCTCATTAAGGCAGAATCCAAGTGAAATGTAGTTGGAATCTTCTGTTTGAAATTGGCCAGTGGGAGTATCAGTAACTAACATAAATATCAACAGTAATGCTAAAAAATAAATTTAAAATTTAAGAATGACTATACTATTGCAAATACAGTATATTTATCCAGGAAATAATTACATAGGTAAAACTGAAAATAACTGCGAAATGACATCATCATGCCTTTTGTCTCTAGATTATACTACTCTCTGTTTTTCTCAGGTATATTTCTTTCTTTTTTTTTTTTTTTTAGTACCGGGGATGGAACTCGGGTCCTTCCGCTTGTGAAGTAGGTGGGGGAACCACTGAGCGAAATCCCTAGCGACCCCCTTTTTTGGTACCGGGGATCAAACTCGGGTCCTTGTGCTTGTGCAGCAGGCAGCAAAATCACTGAGCTAAATCCCTGGCCCATCTCAGGTATATTTCATTGGCTTGAAGTTCATTTGTTTGTTTGTTTATTTATTTATTTATTTTTGTGCCGGAGACTGAACTCAGGACCCTGCGCTTTTGAGGCAGGCAGTGGAACCACTGAGATAAATCCCCAACCCTGAAGTTCTTTTTTTTTAAATGTAGTAAAATAAGCTAGACATGGTGGTACATGCTTATAATCCTAGTACTTGGAAGGCTAAAGCAGGAGGATCACAAGTTCAAGGCCAGCCAAAGCTATACAGCAAGATCCTGTCTCAGAAAACATACATACATGCATATATGCCTAAAATGTAGTAAAGTACATGCGGCATAACTTACCTTTTTTTGGTACCAGGGATCAAACTCAGGACCTTGCGCTTGCAAAGTAGGCACAGCACCAATGAGCTAAATCCCAGTGTCATAAATTATATTCACACTGTTGTGCAGCTATCACCACTCTCATCTCCAGAACTTTTTCATCATCCCAAAGGAAAATTTGATACCCATTAAATAACTCTCCATGTAATGGCACATGCCTGTAATCCCAGCATTCTGGGAGGCAGAGGCAGTAGGATCATCCATGCTTGAGTAACTTAGTGAGACCCTGTCTCAAAACAAAAAAGGACTGGGGGGCCAGGGATTTAGCTCAATGGCACTGCGCCTGCCTGGCAAGCGTAAGGTCCTGAGTTCAATCCCCGGTACCAAAGGAAAGAAGGGAAAAAAAAAACGGGGACACAGCTCATCCAAAGGCCTGGAGTTCAATCCCCAGTCCAAACACAAAATGAATAAACAATTCCCCAGTCTTCCCTTCTCTCAGGTCCTGGTAAACCACCATTCTATTTTTTTTCTGTGAATTTGCCTACTCTAGGTACCATACTTCATGAAAGTGGAACCATACAGTATTTGTCCTTTTATGCCTGGATTATTCCACTTAGCAAATCTTCAATGTTCCTTAAGTTCTTTTAATATCAAAAGGATTAACCACATTTGTGGAAATTATCAGATCCCATGCAATCTCTTATTCCTCAATTTATGACAGGTATAAAGTACTCCGAAAAGGAATTCAGGTTTGGTTCAGTAACATGGAATACATATATTTCTGGGAAAGGAACCAATAATATTATTTCTTTATGCTAAGTTCTATTCCACCCAATAATTTTCAATTATAAAACTCAAGATTCAGCGGGGCCTGATAGTGCAGGGGAGCCTGAGGCAGGAGGACCACAGTGGATCTGAGCCCAGCCTGGACTGTACAGCAAGACTCTCTCAAACCCCCTCACCTCTAATAAAAACATTACAGATTTATCTAGAATAAAAGTAGAAATAAAATATACCAGAACTGTAATCCACTCTAATGTATAAGGCATCATACTAAGCAATAGGGACAGGGGCATTAAATGAGACAGAAAGAATCCTCCTCTGGAGCACACAGGCTAAAATGAAAGATATACTAAAAAAAAAAAATTACAAAAGAGATGAAGACAAGGACTATACTATAGAATGTTACTATAGAATATTGCTGTCACAACAGCAAGTAAGCAAAAAGGGACTTAGTAAAATGTGACAGGAAACATTTTAAGGCAAGAGTAAACAACAAACAGGAATGAACCTAAACAGTCGGGAGTATGGATGTATGGGGTCATGTAAGGTAGGAGATACTTGTGCCCACTCCAGACAGAGGATGACACAAAGCAAAAGCCACAGAGTGATGGAGAGAGACAAAGACTGGCACATCTGAGTGAGCTATAACAGTTTAAATATAACAAAAATGTACAGTTACAACAGAATAGTACTGAAGAAGCAAGGTGACAGATTATACAGAACTTTGTAAACTATACTAAAGATCCCAAAGATGATAAAAAGTCACTAAAGACTTTAAGCAAACAGGTGACAAAATCAGATAGTATTTTGAAAAGATCACTCCAGGAACAGAATAGAAAATGAAGAGAAAAGAAGACTGAAAGTAGGAAAACTATCTACTGCTACATAATCCATCAGTTTTTAAATGGTGTCTGAATTAAGCTGCAGTTGTAGGAATGAAAAACATCAGGTAAATTAGGGAGACACTGAGATGTAAAATCAGCTGGATTAAATTACTGACCCAATGTCAGGAATAATTGGAGAAGCATGAATGAGTAAGTCCCACCTTTTGGGTACAAGTAATTAATGAGATGAATAACAGAGTCATTTGCCAAAACAGGATGGGAATAATGGCAGATGCCCAGATTTTGTGGCAGTAAAGATGAGTTCAGTTTTCAAATACATTTAGTTTTACTTCCTTCAAGACATCTAAGTGAGGATCTCTAGCAACTGTGTCAAGATATAGATCCTTGACAAACACTTAAGTGCTGAAGAGCTTCAGGGGGAAGACAAGAGTGAAAAATAGGAAGGCAAAGCCCTAAGAAATGACAACATTAAGGAAAAAAGAAAGTTGGCAGAACTGGCAAGAGACCACAAAAAGCCAGAGAAACAGAAGAAACACCAGAAATATAGGGCACTACAGAAAAAAAAG